GGGGGGGGGGGGGGGGGGGGGGGGGGGGGGGGGGGGGGGGGGGGGGGTAGATTGATGAAGGGTGTCGCGGAGCAGAGGATTTGTGGAGGTCTCTCCCCCCCGCACAAAAGTGTCATCGTTCCCACGATGGGCCATTCCATCATCGAACGCGTCTTGGAACATCCAACCTTCGGAGCATTTCGTTCCATCTTCCCTCCCTTTCTCACCGTACTGAATCGAGGACTCGTGAGGAAAGGGTCTCAACAGGTCTGCGAAAAAACCTGCCGGGATCGAACGAAAACCGACTGTCCAAACTTTCCGGGGTTCGTTTAGGATGGATGCGCCAAAGATATCGATCGTAAATCGATTGAACCGTGCAGTGCCGATATCCCGATTCGAATAGCAACATCAAAGAGTAGTGGTAATTTCTGACGTCATGAGGTTCCGATTCTACCCTGTATAATCCTATACCGCATAACGCTGTTCCTCATTATTATTATTGTTGTTAGTACAGTAGACGCCGTTTGTGATCACGTTGGTGCAAGGAAATTTGATAATATTAAGTGGCAGCATTTTGGTGATTGGATTTGCTTTTGGTTTTCGAGATTTGATCACATTATCCAGCTGATAACAATAGCCAGGGATCACAATATGCGGCGTCTACTGTATACTGTATCACCTTTTCATCGGATTTTCGTCCTCTCTTTGGTATCCGTTTTTATTTACGGCGTCGCATAATGGGATAACCGAGGCATAATGCATCCAGCTTAAAAGTCGCCAGTGAGGGAAACGACCTCGCCCCAGAATATTGGTTTACATCATGATAGCCAGTGAAAGAATCCATGAGCGGTATATTATATGTTTGTGGAGACGATCCACGGGGGGATTCCGGATTATCTCGAATGATCTTTTTCCGGTCCGGGAGCCGATATTACGACAACACGGGGCATGTGTGTGGGATATCGCCTTTCCATCCCTCCCTCCCTCATGTTTCTCCGCGGGATGTGTACACTCCGAGGTCCTCTCTCTTTATCTTTTTCCTCCCTTTCTCGTTGGAAATTCGATACGTGGTACATTTCCTCGGGTCTGGAGTATTTTTCATGCGTTCCGGCGATCAGAAACCTAATCATGGAAGAAAAGGGGGGGGAATAAAGAACGAGGCAAGCACCTGAGAAAACGGGAAGGAAGGGAAGATCTGTTCCTCCGTAATATCTTCCAGGCCATAAACCCCTATGACGGGGAGTCTGGAGCTCTAATCCAATTTCCCTTCCCCCTTCCCTTCTCCCGGGTTCCCCTTCCCTTCCCTCCCTCAAACGTATGCAGCAGGGGAGATGGAAGATACATGGTGATCGCCGCAGATCCTTCCCAGGGGCATCTCCCACTTTTATCTATTCCCCCTTTCCTTCCGTCAGTCTCATCATGGAGCTCATTCACCTTCCGAAGCAGGAAATTAGAGTTCATATCGTGCAGCTGCTGAATCGGGGGGGCGCGACTCGCTGATGAAGAAATATGGAAAAGCCGGAAGTGCTGTACAGTAAAATTTAAGGCGGATGATGCACCCGTCATTCGTGATTGATGACCATTCATTCTTCTTAGTTTTTCTCCGCTCTGATGATATAATCGGTGTCTGCCTTTCTTTCCTTAAAAGGTGTTATTCTAATTGGGAAGTCATGGCCTGGAACCGCCGAAATTTTAATGCTTAAACCTTTGGGGTGTTGCCGACAATTTAAGGACTACTCAAATTCTCGCAGTGGTATAGCTTCAAAAAACTGAGGGAAGAAAAGACTGAGACAAAGAGTCGTAAAGATGAGATCTGCACGCGACCGATTTTCCAGCCGACTCCTCAACCGACCAGAAATCGAGGACTTCAGATGAGAAACGCGCAGCCTGCACGAGGGATGCACCCGCTGGGCATCCGGCTCAAGCGGCCTTGCGCAGCCACTCAGTTGGTTCCTCACGATTCACTAGGCGCCGTGAATGAATGCAGTAAAAAAAAAAAAAAAATGGGAGGGGGGGATCTGGGAGATAAGGTGAAAAGGCGATGCTTTCAATAGGCGCTTCAGCCATGCCTGACGGTGTTCTTCGATGCGTAGGTCTATATGGGGTGGGTGAGGGAAGATGAGAGCCAATACATATGCATGCAGGGGATAGGCCTATCCTATATTCTATCCTATATTGACGGAAATCTGCATCCAGATTGTTCTCTTTCGCTCTTGCTGCAGGAGTGAAACTGAAAATTTCCCTTCTTTTCCCACCACTAATGACTTACTCCTCTGCCGTGAATCCATTATCTTCTCTCAAAAGAGGAACATAATGCATCGAAGACCCTTCCCAACAATAACAGGATATGATGCATATAGCTTTACTTTACTCTTTCTTCCTCATTTCCAGGATGGAAGCAGACTGCAATCTACGAGGTCCTTTGAAACTCGACTTGCTAATTAGACCGGGCTTGTTTTATTCTATGGGAAAGGGAGTTTTCCGTGCGGAGG